AGCACAGCAACTAAGAGATAGCATAGATAAATGGGACCTCATAAAACTAAAAAGCTTCTGTTCACAAAAGAAATGGTCTCTAAACTGAAGAGAACACCCACAGAGTGGGAGAAAATATTTGCCAACTATACATCAGACAAAGGACTGATAACCAGAATATAAGGGAACTTAAAAAACTAAATTCTCCCAAAACTAATGAACCAATAAAGAAATGGGCAAGTGAACTAAACAGAACTTTCTCAAAAGAAGAAATTCAAATGGCCAAAAACACATGAAAAAATGCTCACCATCTCTAGCAATAAAGGAAATGCAAATTAAAACCACACTAAGATTCCACCTCACCCTGTTAGAATAGCCATCATCAGCAACACCACAACAACAGGTGTTGGCGAGGATGCGGGGAAAAAGGAACCCTCTTACACTGTTGGTGGGAATGTAGACTAGTACAGCCACTCTGGAAAAAAATTTGGAGGCTACTTGAAAAGCTGGACATCGATCTACCATTTGATCCAGCAATACCACTCTTGGGGATATACCCAAAAGACTGTTACTCCAGAGGCACCTGCACACCCATGTTTATTGCGGCACTATTCACAATAGCCAAGTTATGGAAACAGCCAAGATGCCCCACACTGACGAATGGATTAAGAAAATGTGGTATCTATACACAATGGAATTTTATGCAGCCATGAAGAAGAACGAAATGTTATCATTCGCTGGTAAATGGATGGAATTGGAGAACATCATTCTGAGTGAGGTTAGCCTGGCCCAAAAGACCAAAAAATCGTATGTTCTCCCTCATATGTGGACATTAGATCAAGGGCAAACATAACAAGGGGATTGGACTTGAGCACATGATAAAAGCGAGAGCACACAAGGGAGGGTGAGGATAGGTAAGACACCTAAAAACTAGCTAGCATTTGTTGCCCTTAATGCAGAGAAACTAAAGCAGATACCTTAAAGCAACTGAGGCCAATAGGAAAAGGGGACCAGGAACTAGAGAAAAGGTTAGATCAAAAAGAATTAACCTAGAAGGTAACACCACGCACAGGAAATCAATGTAGTCAATGCCCTGTATAGCTATCCTTATCTCAACCAGCAAAACCCTTGTTCCTTCCTATTATTGCTTATACTCTCTCTACAACAAAATTAGAGATAAGGGCAAAATAGTTTCTCTGGGTATGAGGGGGGGAGGGGAGGGGTGGAGTGGGTGGTAAGGGAGGGGGTGGGGGCAGGGGGGAGAAATGAACCAAGCCTTGTATGCACATATGAATAATAATAAAAAAAAAATAAAAAAAAAAAAAGAAAAGTTACCTGCATCACATGGCTGTGGTCTTTCTGAGGACAGGCAAAGAAATGAATGTAATCTGGAAAAGCAAGGAAAGCTTTTCATAGAAAACACTTTATTTTTATTTTTTGGAGGTACTGGGGTTTGAACTCAGGGCCTTGTGCTTGCTAGCAGGCTCTCTTGCCACTTGAGCACTCCACCAGCCGCATAGATATATTTCAAATGAGTGATTTCAGAGGTTCCTCATATGCACTTCTCCCTTTATTTGAAATATGATTGATATGTTTTGATTGTACACATGACTAGGGCTCAGTGTGACAATTTAATAGGTGCACACAGCGTACACTAGTCAAGTCTAGCCTTCCTTTATTGCCATCCCTTCCAAACCTCTTAAATAACTATTATATAGATTAGTCATTAAAACAAACTTCCACAAATAGAGAGAGGACATGCAGACCCTGTATTTCTGTGTTTGGCTTATTTCACATAAGACAATGTTCTCCAATTGCATCCAATCTGCTGGAAATGAAAGGGCTTCCTTCTTCTTTGTGGATGAATAATATTCCATTGTGCAAGTACACCACGTGTTATTTATCCATTCACCCATTGATAGACACACAGTTTGTCCAAATCTTAGCTGTTGTGAAGTACCATGACAAACACAGGACTGCAGGCATTTCTTTGGTGCACTGATCTCAGTTCTTTGGACATATACCAGAAGTGGGATACTTGCATTGCATGGTGGATGTAATTTTACTTTTTTGAGAAATTTCCACAGTGGTTTTCATGGTGGCTGTACTAACTCACATTCCTACCAACAGTGTATGAAAGTTCCCTGTTCTCCACATCTTCAACAGTACTTGTTATTTTTTTTATAATAGCCATTCTAACTGGGATGAGAGGGCATCTCATTATAGTTTTTGTCTTTTTTTGAAGCACCGGGGTTTGAACTCAAGGCCTCACACTTGCTAGGCAAGTGCTCTATCACTTGAATCTCTCAGCCAGCCTCATTATAGCTTTGATTTGCATTTCTCTGATGGCTAATGATATTGAACATTTTCATGTATTCATTTGACATTTGTGTTCTTTTGAGAAGTGTCTCTTCCTATCGTCTGTGTATTATAAACTGGATTATCTATTTTCTTGCTGTTTTTTTTTTGAGCTCCTTTTATGTTCTGGATATTTATCCTTTCTCATGTGAATAATTCACAAATATTTTCTCCCATTCTGTAGCTTTCTGTTCACTCTGGCAATTCTCTCCTTTGCTGCGCAGAAGCAGAAGTTTGATGTGATCCCACTCATCAATTTTTTCTTTTGTTCTAGGTGCTTTTTGTATTCTATGCAAAGAAATCCTGCCTACATTAATGTCTTGAAGTGTTTTCCTCTAGTAGTTTCATGACTTAAATTTGGGTCTTCCATCTGTTTTGATTTGAATTTTGTGGTACAGGGGTTTGAGCTCAGGGCCTTGCTAGGTAAGTGTTCTGTTAATTGAAGCACGCTCCTAGGCCTCCCTTTCATTCTTTGGGTTATTTTTTTGATAAAGTCCCATGATCTTATTTTTGGCCTGGGCCAGTCTGGACTACAGTCCTCCTACTTGTGGCCTCCCACATAGCTGGTACCACAGACACGTAATACTATGTCCATGGTATGGGTTAATGTGTGGGTCTTGCTAACCTTTTGTTCGGGCTGGCCTTGACCTGCAGTTTTCCCAGTCTCTGCCTCCCATGTTGCTGGCATTGCAGGCATGAACCACTGTGCTTGGCCTTGATTTGGATTTTGTGCAGAATGAGAGAAAGAGGGGTCAAGTTTCAATCTTCTACATGTAGATAATCAGTTTTTTTCCAGCACCATTCATTGAAGAGGCTGTTCTTTCTCCAGAGTATGTTTTGGCTACTTTGTCAAGGATCAGTTGGCTATAGATATGTGGGTTTGCTCCCGGGAACTCTACTCTGTTGCTTTGGTATCTACATGTTTCTCTTGGCATGTATCTGTTTTTATGCCATTACCACGTTGTTTGGATTACCTTTGCTTAGAAGTATGTCTTGAAATCAGGGATTGTGAAGCTTCCAGCTTTGTCTGTCTTTTCATACTCTGACTTCTTTTTACTGTGTATTACCTCCCAAATACAAGTATGTAAGGAATATAAAAAAGAAACATCTATTTTGGACAGAATTTTTTTGGCAAAGCAATGATTTACTGTAGTTGGGTGGTTATATGTCTTATTGAAGCTTAATATTTATTCAGCTTTGTTGATTTGTACAAAGGTAACTTTTGAAAAGAAATAGAATGTGAGTACGATTTAATTATATGTTATTGTAGAATTTAGAGTTTCCTAAATTCTTCTGTGTTGGTTCCTACTCCTCTTTGTGTATTGCAGACTTCTGCCAGAACTATTCAAAAAGCCTATGCCTGGGCTCCACCTTCAATTCTGAGTCATCTTGCTAAGACTCACTGCTCAGATAGAAAGTCTTAAATGTGATATTAGTTAATGTTACTCTCTCATTAACTCTGAGGTACATTGAGCTTTTGTGTGAATATAAACCAGCTGAGAATATCATCAAAATGCAGTCTGATTCAATAGATGTGTGTGGGGTCTTGAGACATTGCTTTCTATACATCTCCCCAGTGATACCACCTGATGATCCAAAGACCACACTTTCGGTAGCAAGGGCTGGATGGTATATTTTAAAGTGTGCAGTGCTGGAAGCATGGCTAAAAAGAAGAAAATGAATAGAGCAACTCACATTATTAGACAAAGGGATTGATGAAAGGGTAGAATAAGGTAATTTCTTACACATTAATTTTCATCTTTTAACATTTTTCCACTGATTTGAATATCTAATTTAATGGTTTGTCCAATTCAGGTTGACCTCATATTTTTTTTCTAGGAAAGATCTTTTTCATTTCATCAGTAGAATTCATAAAATACAAACTATCGCAGAGTTTATAGTCTCTTTATATATTGTCATGATCATTTAGAATGATACAATCTAATGAGGAAGTATGAACAAATACATTGGTTTTACTTAAATCGGCATCACTGACTTTTACGTTGTGTTGGGTTCTGAAATTGCAGAAACTGACATAGTTCCTGCTCTTCAGGACCTTACACTCTAGTAAGGGTGGGAGGCACATGTGAGCAGTTAGCTATAATATGAGGGAGAATGAGAGACAAATTAAATGGATGTACAAGCAGCATGCTATGGAAGAGGCAATTAATTCTGCCCTCATTGGTGACATGGCACTTAGGATTTTGAAATGCCTCCTTTGAAAGTTCACATCTGAGCCAGATGTGGAGGTGCATGTATATAATTCAAGCTATGTGGGAGGAATAGATATGAGAATCATGTTTTGAGGCCAGCCTGGGTAAAAAGTTAGCAAGATCCTGTTTCAAAGAACAAGCTGGGCGTTGTGTCTCATGGCTATAATCTCAAAGAGGCAATATGCTGGAGGTAGGTAGGAGGAGCATGGTCTGAGGCCAGCCCCACGCAAAAAGCACAGAACCCTGAAAAATAACATAAAGCAAAAAGGACTGGGAGCGTAACTCAAATGGCACAGAACTTGTTTAGTAAGTGTGAGGCCCTGAGTTCAAACCCATTATCACCCCTGCCAAAAAATAGTTCACATCTACTTGCCAGTTTCTCAGATCATCACTGCTGGGGCTCACAGTTTTAACTCATTGGAAATAATTCACTAAAATTGCAGACCTATTTTAGGAACCTCCTAAAACTTTTTTCAGGGCATCCTTCATTTCTTTATTCCGGAGACTGTAGATCATAGGGTTGAAGAAAGGGGTTAAAACTGAGTAGAATAAAGTTGTGAACTTCTGCATGCCCTTGGCTTGTCCTGACCCTGGGCTCACGTATGTTATCATGACTGAACCATAGAAGAGAAACACGACAGCTAGGTGTGAGGAGCAGGTGGAGAAAGCTTTCTTCCGGCTAGTGGCAGAGGGCACCTGCATCACTGCCCTCAGTACCAGGGTATAGGAGCCAATAATGTAGAAAAAGGTGGCAAAGATGAGAAGGGAGCTCATGGTGCCACATATGAGTACTGTCCCTGGAATTGGAACACAGGCTGCAGCCAGGGCCAGCAGGGGACTGAGATCACACAGAAAGTCATCAATCACATTTGGGCCACAAAATGGCAGTTGGGTGATGAATATCACTGGAATAAGAAACCAAAGGAAACCATAAACCCAGCAAAAGATGACCAGGATGCTACAGAACTTAGTAGTCATTATGGTGGGGTAGTGCAGGGGGCGGCAAATTGCCAGGAACCGGTCATAGGCCATGATGGAGAGAAATAGGCACTCAGTTGTGCCCAGAGAGAAGAAGAAGTACAACTGCAGAAGGCATTGAGTGAAGGAGATGGTTTTGGTCCTGGAGAGGAAGTTGACCAGCATGTTTGGCACATCAGAGTTGACGTAGCAGATCTCCAGGAAGGAGAAGTTGGCCAGCAGAATATACATGGGGGTATGGAGTTGGTGGTCCCAGCGCACAGCACACACGATGGCCATGTTTCCAAGCAGAGTCAGGATGTAAGTCACCAAGAATATGGAGAAAAGGAAGATCTGTATTTCCCTGCTGCAAGGGAAGCCCAAGAGGATGAAGTCACTCACGGGCTGGGAGGTATTTCTGTCTTCTGAGGTCATTCCTTCCATTCTGTGAGGATTGAGTTACAAATTATATCTGCACAGTGAGTTATGCTTCCTGGTTTCTCCCCAGGAGAGTGAGCACACTTTCCTGACTTTCAGGGAGGGGTCTTAATCAGTGGTTTGTATTTGTTTTTTGATTGGGTACCCCAACATATAGAAACATAGATATTTTCTGTGTTTCCACTTACTATTCTATACAAATCACTGTTGACTAACTTAGAAAAATTGATAAAGCTTTTTGAGAAGATTTTCTTGGAATCAAAATAAAAATGTAAATTAAAATATTTCCTTTCTGTATTTCTTGGTGTGTACCCAAGATAATACAGAGAAGATATTCTTGGAGATAATACAGAGAAGTATCTAGCCAAATCTGAACTGCAATACCAACCTTTATTTGAGTAGTAGTGTGAGTCTTCTAAGCAACACAGAGGACAGAGCATGTGGCTTGAGAAACCAGGTATGAAGATAATCAGACAAGACAGTGACTTTAAGCCAGTTACAACACATCTGCTTTAAGTGGCCTTTTCTAGGCTGTCATCAGTGTCTATTCTGTCTGAAAGTCTATGGATACCAGACTTTGGTATTGACCAGAATTACATGGAAAGACTTTTGAAAGGTATTGCTCCAGCCTGGTTTGTACTCTGCAGTGAGGGCAGAGCATGAACTTCAGAGATGTTACATAACCTGCCTTGAACAGGGCTCTACCCCTTCAGAAGCAGTGCTTTCTCAGGAAAGGACTCGCGATCTGAGACTGCATTACTTTCTCTGTGAAGTGTGGATAATAATACTTAGCAAGGCTGACATGAGACTTCCATGAAACAATATATGAAAAGTAGTTATATTATAGATTGCAAAATGCTACAGAAATATAGACTATTATCAAGTGCTCAGTAATTATTATGCTGGGTGCTATACTTGTTAAACTTACAAGTTAAGCTGATTTTAAATTGTAGGGAATTGTTTTTTGCTTGTGGAATTTTGCGCTGTGACAGGTGAAGTGTGTGTATTTATATACATACGAAAAGGAAAGTGTTCCTCCGTCCCTCTGTCATATCAAAGATTGAACTCTCTAAGGATGTTTTTTCCCCCACCAAATGCACCAGAGCTCCCATTTTCTTCTTTATAGGTTGTCTTCCTGGGCAGGGATACTGTTCAGTCTTAAATGATAGGATCATTTTCTGTGGGCTACACTTGTGATTTTCATTAAGGTTACCTAGGTTTCAATACGCAAAACTCTCTGCTCTGTCCCTTCTCACACTGCACCCTCTTAACACAGCTTGCTTGTGGGACTTCCTGAGGAACTGAAGAATAGACTGTCCTCAAATGACCATAATAAAGCAGTACCAAAACCACCATTTCAAAATAGGCAGCCTTGTGGAAGTCACAGTTGATGTAACTATTTTCCTCTGGTATGCTCTCTTCAGTTCTGTAGAAACCTAACTACTTTTTTTTTTTAATTCACGGGAATAGAGGGAAGTTTATCTAAGACTTAGGTCTTGATCTTGGCCAAAATGTACCCCAGAAGTTTGGCATATGGCACTGCCATCCCTGTTTCCCCTTTTTCCTGCTTTCACATAAATGTAAAGCTCAAATGCTCTGTTAAACTTTTCTAAACAGCATCAGTTCTCTAGGAAAAAAAATCCAAGAAACTCATGCATCAACTTAACCCCCAACATCTGGGAAGGTGTTAGTGGTTTTCCTTTTGTGTGTTATGGTGTACACAAAGACACATGACCAGATGGCACACACACCAGATCTGTTGGAACACCATTTACTGAAGAAAACTTGTGGACCCAGGTTTGATCGCAGACATGCAGGTCCTTTTTGCTCATTATAATTATAATGGCACCTAGAAGTCTAGCATAGCACTTTCCTAGAGGGATATCCCAACTTTTGGACTGCAGGGTTTTTAGCTTCATGATTGAACAAGCAAATTGTTTTCATAATGTGATTAGAACTATAATAAATATCAAAATGATAGAACCTGACTTGTTCCGTTTCCAGGCTCAGTTTGTAGTTGGGGGGAAGGAATACTAGCTCTTCCCTGGTGTGGTTAGGGGCAGTGGTTTAAGCTTTTAGTTGCAGTTGTAGGAAATGACAAGCAGACAACAAGGTTCTCTATACTCACCAGGTGTTGGGGGAAGTGATTGCCTTAAGCACTGAGCAGGACTGAAAAACCCCATGGACAACTTCCTGCTTGGTTGGGCAGCTTCAAGGGGATCCATTTGGACGGTAGCCCTATGTCCAGTCTGTGTTATGTTTGCCTTAATTACTCTAAGTAACTACTGTAGATGCAAGGTATATCAAGGGTTATTACTTCACTTCATTTACGAGGAGATAAATGTTCAAAGAGGTTAAATGACTGAAGCATCAAACCAGTAAATGATTGTCAGTGCAAACGTCCATGCCTTTGCTTCTATTTTTACCATTTTCTCACCCTTTTAAAGGACTCCCAGTAAAATGTCTACAATGCCACAAGTCAGGAAAAATTGCATAGAATTAGTAAAATGAGTGCTGTGTTGGTGCTGTAAATGTTATCATATTGTTTGAGGGAAGCAAGTAGAGCCTTCCAAGTACTCCTCAAACCGGACCAGTTAAGGGTGGAATTACAGTTTTTGCCTTTATTTCATTTTTATGTGGCTAGCTTATTATTTTTATAATAACAATAGCTAAAAACATTTGCAAATGTTGCACACAATCTTCAACTTTAAAAGTTGAGCTTTACATATAACCTGTTGGTAATTTAAGTTTCCTTTTGTGTCATTCAGTGTAAAACTGTCTAATTTGGAAAAAATGTAGGTTATGAAAAATAAAGATTTAGGCACTGTTCAATTTATCTTTTGATTTTTTTAAATTAAAATTTTCTTCAAGAATCCAAAAAAAAAAAAAAAAGTTGAGCTTAATTCATCTTCAAACATGGTCCTAGAATGGTATCGTCAGAGAAGAGATCTGCTGCCGCTGTTTCACAACAGCAGTTCACAAGGAATGAGCTGAGTTAAGGAGGGCAGACAAGGCAGCTGCTGAGGGGCAATTTTACTAGTACCTGATTTTTGTGATATACATTTAGCTCCCAGATAGTTGCCTAAGGCATATCACCTTTCATGCATTTGCTCAAAATCAAGATAAAGAATTTACAGTGAAGGTTAAAAATAGAAAATACCAGGGAATATAAGCAGTTGTTTCTTTGTATTTTGGGGTAGCATAATTGTATATGTTGGAGTCTTTTGTTATTTTTTTAAAATTTTCAATTAGATCTTACCATATTTCTTCCACTGCCTCCCTGAGTCCTTATTTCCTACGTTTTGTAGAATGAAGGACAGTTAACATGCTATGTCTTAAGGACATACTTACAGAATGGTAACAAGTTTCCTTTTCCATCTGTTTTCTCCTGTTTCTGGAGGAAGTGAAGAAACTGTCAAGTCTTGCCTTCAATTTCTTGAAATAATGTATATCTCCCATTTACCATGGCTTGGGCATGCTAAGAAAACACTCTATGCTAAGCTACATCCCCAGTCTTTGAAATCATGGATTAGAATAGAACCTTAAGAATCACATTTTCTTGTTGATCTGAACTCACTGAATCTTGGAGGCTAAGGAGATGTTAGTGGTTTTTCAGACTCATCTCTACCAGCAGTAACAGCCTTCTTTTCTACCAACTCATGGGCTGACTTTCTAGATTTTGCTGAAATAAAAAATAAAAATCCAGGCAGGTCATTGCCTTTAGAGCATCTTTCATTTTAAGAAGGTGCAATAAGCTTCCCTGTTCTCCCTTACATCCCGAGTCACTTTCTCATTCTGACTTGCTTCTGCCCTAGGGAGGGGAAACTGAAAATATAACTGATATATTTATTATGTGCCCATGATACTCACACACTTTGTAGCATTCTACAACACCTTCTTACTCCTCCAACACTTGCAGAAGTAGTAATAGAGCATGGAAGGGTGACTAGTCAGCACAGATGCAGACTGGAAGTGGCAGTGCTGGACCAGATTTGCATCTTTCTACTACATTTACAGATGCTCAAATGAGTCTACACATCTGCACTTACAGACACTTGAGGAAACTATGTGTCCTTGACTCTTCTTTAATTATACTAAGTACCCTCTGTTTTTCCAACTGAAGTGACACGATTTCCAGGTCTTCCTTTTATTGCTCAGCTTTTCTGCAAATGTGATGTTCGAAGCGCTCCTCTAGCCATGAGACCAGCACAGCTCGGAGGCACTATAACCTTGCCTGCTCCTGAGCCTACAGACTTCAGTTGCTGCTAGCTTTTGGACAGCTAGTTTACACTTTTGATTTTCGTTAAGTTTGCCTCTTACCAAAGCCCTTAGAGTTTGTGCAGAAGACATTCTTTAAAAAGAGACTGACCTCATCTGATGCTTGTGTTGCTGAGTTTTTTAAGTGAGGAAGATAATTACTGAATTTTATCAAGTGTTTTTGTTTATTAAGGTCTTATAGATTTAGCATTAAATTTAAAAATTAACTTTCCTTTTATTTTTATTGTCTATAAATTTGATATTTTTGTGTCATCTATTTTTGATTAAATATGTAGAAGCTGAGAAAGTGCTTCTTAAACTAACTTAACTAAATTAAATTTCTTTCTATTTTAATATCTAATGTTATCAACAATTGTGTATAGATAGTAAAAAATAAGATAGGTGGTGTAATGGTATGAAAACGACATTATATCTCTGGAAAACATTCTGGCATGTATTATCAAACAGACAAAATTTACAGCGGCAAGTTTTGGATTTTAGCTTTATGGGAATAAAAACGATGCTTTTGTTTATTTCAGTTTTTTTTTTTTTTTTGGTACTGTGGGTCGAACTCAGGGCCTTGAACTTGCCAGGCAGGTGGTCTACCTCTTGAGCCACACCCCCAACCCTTTTTGCTTTAGTTATTTCTCTATTAGGATCTTGTATTTTTTGCCCAGGCTAGCCTGGACTACAATCCACCTACCTAAAGCCTCCTGCACAGCTGGGATCACAGGCCATTATGTCCAGCT